CTAAAGATTCTCTGCTGGTTGATAGAGCCTTCTGCGGACCCTGGGAGGGGACTATCGAGGGGCTGGACCCCCATAGTCCTCGTTATGAGCACACAGAGACTGTGATAGCATACAGAAGACCTGTGCAAGCCCAAGCCAGACCCAATCCCAGCCTGGAGGAGGGAACGCGCGCACAGATTCCCCTTTAGTCTATTCAAACTGATAGCTGTGGGAAAATCAGTTCTCTTCAATGGAGTGGCAATGGGTAGGTTTATCAACCACACTTCAGGGCTGGCCCCAGGCTCAGGAGTAGTTAGTTAGTCAATGCAACTCAGACACCACTGGTTTTCTTTTTATGTAGATATTTTGTTTATTTTGTAAGAGAAAGAACATGAAGTTGAGTGAGTAGAGGAGTATCTGGGAGGAGTTGCGGGGGGGGGGGGGAGCAGAGGAAATGGTCAAAATCTATTACATAAAATTATCAAAAAATAAATAGAAACATTAAAAAATAAGTTGGGACTGAGGAGATGGCTGTAAGGACCTATGTTTGGGTGCCTAGAACTCATGCAAGAAGCCAGGAGTGGTGGTGGGTGCTTGTAACCCCAGAGCTCAGGGAAAGAGACAAACAGATCCTGGGGGCTTCTTGGCCAGCTCTCTGAGCCAAAATAGCTCCAGATTCAGTGAGAGAATCTGCCTCATAAAACAAGATGGAGAGTTATAGAATAAGATATGTTAATCCCTGGAGCTTACCTGCCCCATCATGGGGGCACACACACACACACACACACACACACACACACACACACACACACACACACACGGCAGAGAGACAGAGAGACAGAGACAGAGGTAGAGAGACAGAGACAGAGGAAAGAAAAGAAAAAAATTAACTTTATTAAGTTTGCTCTTATAATTTCTCTAATTTATTATTGAGTTATTTCTCTTGATATGTCTAATTTAAAAATTCAGCTTTATCATCACTGCATCTTTAATAAGAAAAAACTGTGAATATATGGGGTTTGCCACTACACACTGCTTTCAGGAAGGTATCTACGAAGTGTTTCTTCCTTCTTGGCTGTGGCTATGGAAACAGCACCTGAACCCAACTTTGGTGTCCATTACTCATAAGAGGAAGCCTGCAGCTCTACCATGGACGTGGCTAATGTGACAAAGGGCTTCGTAGGCTCTGGCTTCCCCCGCAGCTCCGACCTGCAGGGCAGGGGTGGTGACTGGCTTGTCTCCTTCTGCAACCTCACTTGGTATTTCAGAGGTTCTTTAGAGGGCCATACTTCCGTGGCTGTGGTCTGCTTCCAACGTCATCTGTCAGGAGATGTGAAGGTCATTTCAGCCGCTGACTTCAGTCTGACCACATTAATGAGTCACAGATTCTTCTCCTCTTGGGTTTTGGGGATGCTGGAGCTCTATCTGTCATCAACGGCAAATATGTCAGGTTAGCCACTGCTGACCTAGGAGCAAAAAGGTCACAAAACCCTAACAGAGAAAGAATTCCTGGTTTCCCCTTGGATTCAGCAACTGTGACCCTGCCATGTTCTCCCAGATGACCAGACAGTGATGTTCTCAGGAGTGTCTTGAAATGTCCATTTTTTTCCCTATCCTATCTCACCTCTGGGTTTTCAGATACTGTCACTGATCTACCCTTTCTGGGTTCTGGGGTGAAACCCTGCCAAACACCTCCCAGGAACTACAATCGTACAAGGTACAGGTAGCAGGCTCAGCTCCTCTTTCCAGTCCAAACTGGCCTTTTATGCACTCTGTAGCCTGTCAGGCCTTGAACTTGTAATCCTTCTGCCTCTGCCCTCCAGTTGTTGGGAAAGGATGACCACACTAGCCCTTCTTCTGCCCCTCTGTTCTCTCCTCTCCTCCCCATTTCTCCTTTCATCCCCCCCCCAGGGGGGCGGTGGAGGAGGGTGGTGGACTATGTAACCCTGACTGACTGGGAAATTGCTATGTAAATGAGGGTGGCTTCAGATCTGTGGGAATCCTCCTGCCTCTACCTCCTGAATGCTATGTTTACAGGCATTAGCCATTATGTCAGACTTTTCTTCCTCTTTTAACAGCTTTTCATTAACCTCTTAAATGAGTAGCTGGCCCTAGTTTTGGTACATTTCTATCCAGAGTTAAATTGAAGGAGTGGAGTTTATGTTTTCTGTTTCCACGGGGGCTGGGACCTGGGACCCAAACCTGCTGTTCTGGTACCATGGCTGCTTCTCCCCTTGCAGAGCCTACATGGTGCCCCTTTCTGGGCTTGACTAGTCTTGTCTTGAATAACGTTTCTATGAGAAAATTCCTTCCCAGAATGCACAGGAATTTCCTGTTCTTCCCAATCCCAAATTCCAAGAAAAAAATCAGTTGAATAGTTGAGAAAACAGGAAAAAAAAAAAAAAAAGCTTTGCAGTTTTTCTTCGAGAGTTAAATCTTCACACGTGGGATGATATGTTGAGGTTTTGAAGGAAGCAGGTGTGTCCAATGGCACAGGAGAGCAGGAAACAGACACATTCCAAAATTAAGGTCGATATTTTCAGAATTCAGGACAGGAGCATGAAGAGAGAAAGCAATCCCATGGCTGGCATCCTTATGTGTGTGCAGTATCCTTATGTGTATGCAGCATCCCCATGAGGTAAATGTGTGTGGTCATCTGTCTCCTCTCACATGGCTGGCATCCTTATGTGTGTGCAGCATCCTTATGTGTGTGCAGCATCCCCATGATGTAAACATGTGCAGTCATCTGTCTCCTCTCACAGTGACTGTTGAAATGAAAAGCCCTCTTGGTGGGGTTTATGTAGAGTGAGTTGTCCACAGTTGAGTTGACCATGCTTCATAGAGACAACTACACAGATTCTTATGAATGGGGCTCTCAAAACTATCAGATTTTTGAAAGCAAACTACATATTATAATTGGAATTGTCCACCTGTTATTTATTCTGCTTGGAGCTGCTGACTTCATGAAGAAATCTGAATATTACATTATTTAAACACACACAACAATGTTTGTGGACATCCCCCAGAGTTTGGATGCTATAAACCACATTCTTGTGAAATTACTAATTTTAACATGTCTACCCCTGCTTCTTCTATTTTTTGAGCCAAGGTCTTGCTATGCATCTGAGGCTGGCCTTGAACTCTCAGCCTTCCTGTCTCATCCTCTGGAATACTGAATCACAGGTATGGGTTTCCATGTCCAGCATAAATTCAACATTTCTGACATTTGAAACAGCTTTTTAGTTCTGCATAAATGACTTATAATTCCTGTTAGAAACACTTAGCGATGTCAGGAATTTTCAGAGCCCTCCTTGTTCACTCCTGCATCATTCAGAAGCTGGTAGGAAAACTACCCCTGACCTTGAGTAAGCCTCCAGCCCACCCCCCTGACTCATTACTCTGCATTCTCCACTCATTTAACAAATCAAAAGAGGTCATGAAAGAGAGGGAAGAGAGCATCAGGGAGGTGGGAAATAGAGAGGGTGATGTGGGACGGAAAAGCAGAAGCGTCAACTATCTGGGTGAGAAAGGAACCAGTTGCACATGGGAGGGGCACAGAGGACAGAGATGGGAGAGGAGAGCCAATGAGAACAGAGCACAGTGACACCCATTCTTTGTATGCTAGCCTAAAAGAAATGTTAAAAAGAGCAAGCATAAACTAACATTGTGGCTTCTTATCCTTTCCTGAATGTGTGTGTATGTACGTGTGATATGTATGCTGGTGTGTACTTACGTTCACATAGGTGTGTGTAGACACATGTGCAGAGGTGTGTGTGTGTGAGAGAGAGAGAGAGAGAGAGAGAGAGAGAGAGAGAGAGAGAGAGAGAGAGAGGCCAGAGGTTGGCCTTGGGTATTCCTTGACTGTTTCCCACCTTATGTACAGAGGCAGTGTCTCTTCCTTGAAGTCAGAGAGCACAGATTTGTCTAGTGTAGCTAGCCAGTTTGCTCCAGGAATCTCCTGCATCTGCCTCCTAAATGCTGGGATTACCAGCATCTACTTGGTGTTGGGGATCCGAACTCTGGTCCTCACTCTTGTACGGCAATCACTTTACCCAATGAACCATCTTTCCAGCCCTTTTCCTTCTTAAAACAAGTGTTCTTAATGCTTTGGGGAAAAGTTTAGCAGTCTTCTTGTTCAGGGTAAATGGGCTGTGGCTGTCCATGAAAGGTGGGTCTGGGTGATCCACACCCTGCAACAGGGTGTGTTGGCCTTTGCTGATTCAAGAAGTTCTCAACGTGGGGACTGTATCTATAGAAAGTTCTAGGAACTTCTTAATCTTTAGGGCCTCCCCACCAGGCAGGAGTCCTTTGCTGAAGATGGAGTGGAGTACCACAGACATGCCAGCTACCCCTGGCACAGGAGTGGGTCTTGGGATCCAGTTTGACTCGATGCAGGAACACTAGTAAGAAAAACCACAGCCCCCAAACACTCCAGTGTCAGATGAGCCCTTGTACATCCCATGCCTCCTTTCTTCAAGAGATCCCTTCCCTCCTTTCCAGAATGCCTTCTCTACAGGAGGGCCAGAGCGCCAGATGGGCGCAGGTATACCACACCACTGGTGACGCTAGCTGTTGCAGATGTCACATTCAGAGAGATGCACACTGTCAGTGTCACAGGCTGGTGCAAACACAAGACAGGTGTCGCAGTATGGACTAAGTGCAGGGCAGGGATTACAGGAAAGTAGAGGTGAATGGCAGATGTCACTGGCAGCAGGCTATTGTAGGCATAAGGTAGGTGTCACAGGCTGGTGAAGTGTCATTGCTGGCCTCCATGCAGAGGAGGTTTCACAGGCTGTCATAGTTGCTGGCAACTGTTCCACGGTGTTGCAGACACAGGGCTGGTACCACAGACTGTCACAGGTACAGAGCAGATGTCAAGCTGCTGCAGGTGCAAGGCAGATGTCGTAGGCTGGTACAGACACAGGCTCTTGCAGGGACAAAGCAAGCATTCCAGTCTGAAAGAGGGATGGAGCAGATGCCACAGGCTGTTGCCATTACAGGTCAGGTGGCATCGGCTGGTACAGGTTCAGGGCGAGTGTCACAGGCTGCCATAGTCACACAGCAAGTATCACGGGCTAGAACGGTTGCAGGGCAGTGGTCACAGGCTGGCACAGAGACAGAGCAGCTGTCACAAGCTGATGCAGGCACAGGACAGGTGTTGCAGCAGGCACAGGTATAGAACAGGTGTCCCTGGCTGGTGAAAACACAGGGATGGTGTCACAGGCTGTGCATGGCACAGAGCAGATGTCACAAGCTGGTGCAGGGTGGTACAGGCACTGATCACGTGTCCCTGGCTAGTGCAGGCACTAGTCACATGTCCCTGCCTGCTGCTGGTCCCAGGCAGCTGGTCCCGATTTGGGGGTATAGAAACTGTTGACTCATCAGCTCCTTTCTTCCTATCTCTGCCTTTTCACTCCCATCGCTCCCATAGTCAGGGGCAGAGGCTCCCTCAGGCCCAGAAAAGAGGGTCGGCATTCTGGTCCTTTGCTAGGCTGCTGCTCTGAGAACTGGGGTCTGCTCCTCTTGCTCCTTCAGGTCTGGCCTCAAGAGGAGCACTTTGCTCCGGAGCTCTCTGGTATGGCTGAGGCAACAGAAGACGTTGGCAGAGTGGGCAGAGGACCACTGCCTTCAAGACCACACTGGCCAGTGTCAGGCTGGTGTGGGCTTGAGAACACTGAAGTGTGGGTGACTGCAGGTGGGTAGGAACCAATAGCTCCAAATGAAGAGTCGGTGTGTCTGAGAACAGACATTAGGCAACGGATCTTGTGGGGGCTGGATAAGGTGGATAGATTGGGGATTCTACCTGCACCGGTTAGCATTGCCGCAGGATCCCGAGACACCCTGAAGAAGCTCTGGCAGCTGCAGGAACCTGTTTGTGGTGCACATGTCTGCAGCCAAGCCTGGGTGTTGGGGCAGGGTCAGCTGTGAAAAGTCTGGAGAAGCGGCCACTGTCCTTGGTGGCCA